CTGCATAATATATTTTCTAGTTTTCAATTTTTGCACTTGCATATATATATATATATTCTTAAAAAAATGTGCCTGTCGAAAATAGAGATAACGTAAAAAATAAAATGCTGACATGAGAGTTAAAGTTAACAAAAATTATTTTATGTTTTCATGTTCTTAGTTTACCCTTAAACACTTTGCATGGTAACATGCAAATCTTAATGGACAAACATGTATGAAATGCTTTTAGGTATCAATATGACTAATTAGTTTCATGTACCAATGTGCCTGGTAAATTTTTCTGTTGTTATCCTACACCTCTCAACTCTCACATACCTTGCCTATTTTGTGTGTATTTTTTTTCCTTTTTCCAGATTGAGAACGTAAATCATAAGAAGCAGATACTGGAACTTGAAGGGGAAGTGAAGAAGCTTTCTGGCCAGCAGAACCTCCAGCAAAGAATACATCATCATGCCAAAATCAAGGTAACAAACTTCTCGAATTTTGTCGCACTAACTGCTGACATTCTTAAATTTAGCGTTTGTAGATCGAGAGGGAAATAGAGAAAAATTATTGTGGTTTTTAATTTTTTCTGATTTTTTTTTCCACACATCACACTGTCTCCTACAAAAGGAAACTAATTACACCAAGGATCCTACGAATCTTTATAGTCAATTATTCCTTATTAATTACAGCGATATTATTATGAACTAAATTGCAAATAAATATTAAGAATATAGATAAAATATTTCAATACTCCCCATCAACTTAGCATAAAATTCTTCCTTTGCCAACTTGGAAACTAAACTGTCAAACTGTTACTTGTGAAGCCCTTTAGTCAAAATATCTGCCACTTGATTGATAGATAGAACATAACGCATACAAATGATCCCATTATAATCTTTTTTTATGAGGTGATTGGCAATTTTCATATGCATTATTCTATCATGGTGAATAGGATTATGTGCAATAGCAATTGCTGATTTGTTGCCACAATGCACCTTAATCAGTAGTGGCATGGAGATCTTTAATTCTTCAAGGAGTTCCTTTAACCATAAAACTTCACAACTTCCATGAGCAACATATATATATTCAGTCTTGGCACTACTTCTGGCTACCACATCAGCATCCCAATCATCGTCCCTGAATGTTACAATCCCTCTAGCTCTCCCAATCATGATCCCTGAATGCCGGTCTTGAAAAAACACAATAAGAGTCATAAAAAATAACATGAATAGATAAAATTTTGGGTCATAAAAAATAACATGAATAGATAAAATTTTTAGAGAATATGTTAACAGTCTAGAGGTTAAAAGTTTTGAAATGTGGCGAGCAAATTTAAGATTTATATTTTTGGAAATTTTGACAATGCCTTTTCTTGCTATGGAAGAGAAACTTCCATCAGCAATTTAGACTTTTTCATAGCCAGAACAAGGTGTATAACAATAAAATAGATTAGATAGACTAGTCATATGATCGGACACTCTTGAATCAATGATCCAAGGAGAGGAATTTTTACCTGAATGAGCTGTAGAAGACTTCAGAAGCTTCAGAAGTTGATCAATTTGCTCCTTTGTAAATGGACTAGGCTATTCGAGAACTACATTAGCAGAGTGCTGCCGTTTTTTGTTCGGTTTTGAATTATCTAGTTTTTTATGGATAAACCACCAAGTCCCCTCAAAACTTCTGTTACTCATCTCCGCAGGGTCAGAGAACCCGTTGCTGTCTCGGCTTTGCTACTGGAAGCTCTGAGGAAGTCAGAATAGGAGAGCATTCATCTTGGGGTGGGCTTACTACTTAAATACTTTCAATAGTTATCTACTCCGCACTTGGCTACCCAGCATTTATCGTGGGTACGATAACTTGTACACTAGAGGTGTGTCCTTTTCGGTCCTCTCGTATTGGAAAAAACTCTTCTCAATGCTTTAACGTTCACATTGGATATAGATCAAATTGTCTCATGATGTTCTAAATCCAACTCGCATACCGCTTTAATGAGCGAACAACCGAACTCCTGGAACATACTACAGACCTCTGGTGCGGCGTTGTTTATTGCAATGGTCATACCACTGTCATGATATTTCTTCTTTCCTTCGTAGGTTTGGACCATTTTACCTACTTGCATGGGCCTTTTCAGTAACAAATGTCAACTCTTTGTCATGCTATTTGATTCATTTTTCTTTCCAAGTATGACATATCATCGATTCTCCTCTTAACGAACTTCAGAAAGACTTCATTAATGGAGGGCATAGGATTCCTCCTTATAATTCTTCCTCAGACTTCATCGTATTTAACATTAACCTGCAAGGAATTTAAAGACTTGATTTGTATCGATAATTGTTCGGTACCGAATAGCATCATCAAGGTACTTCCACTTGTGATCATTAAAAAGGTCCATATCCTGCCAAACACACTTTAAAGAATTGAAATAGTTTGTGATAGATAGATTCATTACCTTGACAAATATCACTAAGCTTCAAAGTGGGTTTATACACTTGGGATTGATTGCCCAAATCAGAGTACATTTTAGGTAACATTATCCCAAAGTTCTTTGGCAGTAGTGTAGCACATGTTATTAGAAGCAATATCTTCCTCCATAGAATTCATAGTCTATATCATAACCGTAGAATTTTATGCATCCTAGGTTGCTTGTGATGGATCTGTCATGGCTAGCTTCTGAATAGCACATATAAGGTAACTAATTTTTCCTCTTCCTCTAATATACATCTGGACTGACTGTGACCAACGTATAAAATTGTTACCATTCAGATAAATGGTGCTAATTTGGACTGTTGAGTTCAGAGAAAACTTAAGAATTATCGGATGATGAACATTAGGTAGAGATATATTGATGTTATGATTGCTATAGGAACAGTTGTTCAGGGTTTGGTAAAAAATAATTTTGCTCTGATACCATGTAGATTGAGAATAAAATGAGGAGAAATATTCTAATTTTAATTTTTTTCGTATATTATAAAATCTCTTATTTATAACATAAGGGCATCTTATATAAAATGAAAATACACTAAGGATCTTACAAATCTTTCTAGTCAAATTTTACTTTTTAATTACAAATTTTTCTAGTCAATTATTGCCTATTAATTACATAGATATCATTAAATACTAATTTAGAAATAAATATTAAGAATCTACAAAATATTTCAACAGTATTTTTCTCTTAGATTGATTTAAATGAAAATCTTTTTTTTTTTACATAACAGGAAGAAAACAATATGTTGAAGATTCAGAATGAAGGCCTCAGTGTTAAGTTGAGGCGAGCAGAGCTTATCCTTTCACGTGTCAAGGATGAGCTTGCTCGTTACCGTGCTGCTATTGGAAAAGCTCCAGATATTAATTTTGATGAGGAGCAACGACTGAAAAGCAAATTGAAGGTTGGTAGGCAGATAGAGAGAAGAATTTAGGCTAAAAGAAGAATTTATGTCAAATATGTGTGGTTAAAGAAAAACCATTATAAGATAAGCAAAACAAATGGGATTAGTTTGTTTTCTCCATATACATCTCTGATACATGGGGTGACAGCATCCTGGATCTGTTACAGGAGTTTGAGGATGACAAGGTCCAACTTGCCGGAAAGCTCGTAGGCCTTTGTACCAGTATCTTAAAGGTATGTGAATGGCGATTAGCCACTTGGACATGTCCAGTTCGAGTTCACCTCTAACTTAAATCTGAAATATCAGGTAGCTGGAATAAAAAAACCTGTTCCTGAGATAAACCCTGATGCTGCTGAAGAGGCATTGGAGTACCTTAAGAACAAAGTGACTTCACTGGAAGGAGAACTGGAAAATCTGCGTTTGAAGGTAAGTGTTCTACATCTCTTCAACTCTTAAAGTAGCTTGTTCTAGTCTAATATTCCATCCAACTGAATTCCAAACGGCATTCTAGTACGTGATGACTCACTAAATTTACATAACCCTGCAAAAAAATTCTCCACAGAATAGAGTTTATAGCGAAAGAAACCGGCTATCTGAACTGATGCCCCAGTCTTCGCCGTTAAGCTCAAGGACCGATGAGAACTGTCAAACTCCGAGGAGGGTAGCTCAAGCTCCATTTTTTTCTGCTTTAGATAGATAACTTTATTCACAGACTTCATAAGTTATATACACTTCTCTGCTATCCATGAATACAGTTGGGAATTTGTGATTATTTAGTGCTCACCCCATCTGATATCAGCCTACTTGGAGTTGTATGTATATCTATCCTCTTCAAGACCCTTTATTTTGAAGTTCCAGTGTAAATTATCTTTCTTTTTTTGACTAATCAAAGGCAAGTGTACATACAATTCAATGCCAATCAGTATTCAATAATTCTTTCTGTTTTGTAGTGTTGTATGTACATATAGTGCAATTATTGGTTATATACATTGAACTGTATCTATCTTGAGAATTTTCTTCATATGGGTTTTAAGGCCTCATTAGGGATTCCTAAAACTTTCACTTCCAAGATTTTCAATGATTATTATTACTACAATTATTATTTAACATCAAATTAAAGAATTACTCTACATTTTTCTAAGCTTATTAACTCATTATGTAGGTTTTAATTATTTAGTGTTTAAAAGTTAATCAAAGTTACATAATTAATTTATAATTAAACTAATTTTAATTTCATATTGTTGGATTTAAATTTTCACTTGTTAAATAAAAAAATTATAAAAATAAAAATTGAATTAAATATTAAAAAATATAAGTATAGGTAAAAAGAAATATATTTGTAATTTTAGTATGTGAATAATATTTTAAATTTACTAATTTAATATTTTAAAATAAAAATATAATTAATTTATTATTGCTAAGTTTATATTTATTATAAATTATTTAAAAATTTTATTTTAAAATTTAATTCATAATAATTGATAATTAATATTATATAAAATAAAATAAATATTCTTAAATAATTTAAATTATCACAACAATTTTTATTAAAAGAGTTTTTTTTTTCTTTCCCCCTAAATTTACTAATAACCCTAGTTCTACAGCCTGCGCCACGTTAGTCCTCTACCAAACACGCCTTTACGGACAAAACCCCTGTTTACAGAGGTTTATGCCATTGATGCACTCTTCTTAAAAAGGACCGAGCTTCGCTTTATTCTTTTTCAAATCGACCGTCATTCCGCACCCTGAAGCATCTCATTCTCGAGGTAAACGACTGCATTGAACTTCCGCAGCTTTTCTATATTTCCAAGGCTGATTGCTGTTCTTTGTAATATTTTTATCTGCAGGGTTTGATTACAGAAATGAGCATAGCAACTTGTAGTTCAATTTCTTTTAACCGAGGGTTTTTGTGGAAGGTTTCGTATTTCTTTGATTCTATGTTTGTCTCTTACAAACGGCAAAAAAAAGAAATAGACTATTTCTCTTGATTCACGGCACTGGCACCTGGAATTTTGGGATTATTCTGCTCGATTTTTTTTAACAATTAAAGTTAAATTTTCGAACTTGTATGTTTACTTTTTGTTTGGGCTACGAGAGTTCGTATTCTATTTCAGGGAGAGGCGAAGGTTTTCAATGTAAGGCAGCGAAGTGTGAGGCAATTTTTTGGTGGAAATGTAGCTATTTCATCAAGATGCATG